TATAAGATAAGTAAACATCATGCAATAACTAACACAAGTCAATTATGAGAAAAACGTTAAAATTATGGCATACCAAATCATAATTATGATCAAAAGTTAAAAATCACAGCATACTAAATCATTATTACACCATAAAAGGACAAAATTATGGCAGCTTAGACTTTGTAATAATTTCAACTTGTATCCCATAATCATGATTTATCAAAGCATTATATTTGTTTCTTATGTGGTGTTAAAACAGATGTGTTATTTCTGTTTAGTATGGTTGAATTGGATCATCGGAAGGTCAGCAGCGGTTAATAAAGTTAATAAAATGTGATTAAATACATAAATGATATCTTATTTAACATTTAATTATTGCAGGTATTCTGAGTAATTTTTATTTTATTTATTCATTGCATTCATTTATTCAATGCACTGTTTATTTATTCATTCATTTAATATATTCATTCCATTTATCCATTTATTTAATCAGTGTATTTATTTCATTTATTCATTTTATTTATTTAAATTTATTCATTGCATTTATTCAATGCATTCATTAATTCATTCATTTAATCAGTGTATATATTTAATTTATTTATTTTTATTTATTAATTGCATTTATTCAATGCATTCACAGTTCATTCATTCATTCATTTAATCAGTGTATTTATTTAATTAATATATTTAATAAAAAATAAAAAAATTATTCATTGCATTGCATTCATGTTAGCATGACAACTCTACTTAGCAATGTGCTAAAACATACTAGGAACATGCTAACAAAGTGCTAAAAATGTATGCAGGGTTTGTTTTAAAATGTCAATTTAGTTTTGTTATATTTCAATTTCACAAAGAAACATAATAGCCTAATAAAACGACACCTTTTCATTTACTGTATAATGTCTTCAATCTCATTTTGTAAAAAAAAACCGTGAGAAAATCGAATCGTGAAATCAAAATCGTGAATCGAACCGTGACTTGAGTGAATCGTTACATCCCTAGTGCTTCATCTCTATAAGCTATAATAGTATCTCAAAGATACTAAAATAACACGTGTTATTTGGCCTGTTCTTATGTTATTGTGTATATATACTGTAGTCCTATTCTGTGCTCTTAAGATGCCACAGTTTGCAGTGTTAATATGCTTTAATACAGTGCTTCATCTGTCTCTAGAAGCTATAATAGTATTTAAAATATACTAAAATAACACGCGTTATTTGGCCTGTTCTTATGTGATTGTGTACGGGTCAAAGACGAAAAAGGGTTTAAGCATAAAAACAATAAGTGTAATACTGCTTTAAATTGTTGTTGTTTTTTCCCCCCCATGTTTCATTTAATTGCAATTTTGTTTTTGTTTTTCCGAGCAAAAAATAAATATCATACATTTTCCCCTGATTTACAGAAGA